AAGGGACCCCCTGCAAATCTACAAGCCGACAGCACGCTTCTGCCTGCGCTCCATGCTCTCGCTCGACAGCACCACCCTGGCTGCCCAGCACTGCTGCTACGATGAGCACACCCGCCTCATCACCCGTGGCAAGGGGGCTGGCGTCCCCAACCTTATCAGCACTGAGTTCTCCCCGGAGCTGCACTACAAGGTGGACATGCTGCCCTGGATCCTCTGCAAGGGCGACTGGAGCCGCTACCATGCTGTCCGGCCCCCCAACAATGGGCGACGGTGTGCTGACAACCCCACCGAGGAGGAGTACCTCTCCCAGCTGCAGGAGGCCAAGGAGTACTAGCCACAGCCATGCTCAGAGGAGCCACGGCCATCGCCAGCTCCCACCTTGGCCCAGCCTGGCAAAGCCCCGGCCCTGCTCATGGGCTCCTTGCTGATGCTGGGCAGAGCGAGGAGGATGCACCATCCGTCTCATCACCTCATAGGGACACCTTGGCCCTCCTCCGGTTTCCTGGGGTGCCAGAGGTCATCAGGGCGCGATCCCTGCTGTGCTGCCCAGGGCAATCTCACACCCCGGGGTGCCTGGGCTGGCATGCGGGGAGCCTCGGGAGACAGGAGGCATAAAGGAGACAGGGCAGGCTGCTCCAGTCTGCTTTTATTCTCTGCAATCTTTCAGTGCAGTCTGAAAGCTGAGCGTCTGCGGGGGGCAATGGCCTCAGCTCCTGCCGGCTTCACACCACAGCCAAAGAGGTGGCCTGCTGCAGGCAGAGGTGCCTGCTCTTGCCTGTACACCTGCCCTGTCACATGCTGGTCACCTTCTGGAACTGGGGATGGGTCTTTCTAAGGCGGGGCCTCTCCTCTCCTTAGGTTTTTTGCATGCATGGTTGGGAAGGAGCAAGGAGAGTCTTAGTAGGGTTTTGTGGTTCCGGGGTGGGGTGTGGGGCAGGAGGACACTGGCTGCTTGGGCTCTCTTGGTAAGATTGCCTTGCCATCAAGGGTGCCAAAGCCAGGCATGGGTGGAGCTCAGAGGAGATCAGCATGGGGGACATCCCTGGTGTGCCTTTCAACCCCTTTGTCTCAGTGCTTAGGGGAGTAGGGTGGCAGCACCCATGCAAGTCCCACTGCCAGCCCACCTCCATGCCCTGGCTCCCTGACAGCACCCCAGCGGGTTTCAGTGCTCAGGAGCACTCATGACACAACCAAGCAGAAGGTCCTGCATTTTCCACCCACAGCCCTGCCTGAGGCAGGAGACAACTTGGCCACCTCTTGTGCTGTTCTTGGAGAGGAGCAAAAAGCACCAAGACAAGTTCTCCATGGAGATGGGAGCAAGTTGGACACCACTGGGAGCACCCAGCATTGTCCTTTGCTGTTTTGCTGCTGGCCTTGGGCCCTGCTCCATGCTGTGCCTGCCCAGGTCCCCAGCGAGAGGTAGCCCAGTCATGGGTGCACCCTGCGCTCCTCAGGCTCTCCAGCTGGCCAGGCAAGCAATTGTGGCTCAAAGGAGGAAGACACATGTGCTAATAATGTCAATACCCAGTGTCTGCAGATCATGGATCATGATGCTCTCTGTTGGCGCTTTGGTCTTGCCTGGGTTTTATTCAGATTTGCACAGGTCCATGGTAGTATCTCCTGGCATATTCTGGGAGCTCTCAAGTTTCCCATGGAGAAACTAGGCTGAATACCTTTATCCCTGGACATTCAGTTGCTGAACCTGGCAGAAACTCTTCAGAGCTTTTATTTAGCAAATTTTATGCATCAGAGGAAATAACAGAGCAAGTCAAGCACACATGAAGAGTAGACTAATTTCTACACTAGATATTTCACCCACAGCTGTTGGCTGCTTCCATGTTTTTCTGCAGGACACTATTGGACAAAAAAAATCTGCCTGGGTACAGAAGTCCCTTGTTGACTGTCCTGTGCTAGGTCTGTCCTTCTTGCAGGAGCTTTCTCCAGGGCTGGTGAAAATCCAAGGTCTGATAGCTCTTTGGGGAGTTTTTCTGGAAGCGTCTTATGTATGTTGAGTGTATGTTGATCCTTTTGCCTTGGTAACTGATAGAATATTGCATCCTTGGTCATCAGTACCTAAGACTTCATTGATGGTAACACAAATATATTAATGAAATTATCACTGAATTATTCTTATTTAACTATTATACTACACTTGTATCCCCAGACTTCAGTTATGAGTGCTGTCAAAACATAGGCAGACACCATTCATTTCCCACAACCTAATAAGCATGGATGGAGACCCATACCCTGGTAATTTTTCATGACTATTACATTTTCTCTAGCCCCAAAAATTTGCTCACTAGTTTCTGGTAGAGAGATGGTCAAGAGAGGATGGTGGTGGTCTGGTGGCTTGGTTCTGGGAGCCTGGGATGTGTGTAGGCAGACTCAGGTGTTTGTGCAGGAAGCAGATAAATTGAGTGGCCAAGGCCATGGAAGGGTGAGCTTGTTATCTTCTGTCATTTGGCAGAGCATCTTCATATTTCCTCTCCCACATCATACGTCATCATTAACATCAGCAGCCTCTCAGAGGAACTTATTTACTGTCAGTGCACGGACTTCTTTAAAATGACCTCCCATGAAACGTGGCTAGTGTCCAGTATTTGACCCACACATGGAAGCAGGACGTCTGCAAACAGCCTTTCTTGAAGGAGACTTTCTATAGCTTTCTATAGCTCAGCCAACTTGTTTGTTAGACTGCCTGCTCTCTGAGGAAGTGCTCTGATAAGGACTGTCACCCAGGATTTGCACCCTCTTCCTCTTTATACTGGGTATGTCAACGAGTCTAACCCTCAAAACAGAAACTATAATTTTTGTAATAAATGGAATTCCCATCCAAGGTCAAATAGAAAAATTTCTTGCATGGAGCCCCCACCTCCAAAAGTTGAAAGCCCAGGGGCTGTTCTGCGTTGCGTTCTGCCTCACTGCCTCTGTGTTACATCCTCTGGATGATACAAGCATGAACTGGAGCATGAGAAACAAGAAGCAGTGTTGTTCCTCACACAAGCACCTTACCCACCGGGAGGCTTTGCAGAGCACCATGAAAAAAGTAGACATCAAGCATTTATTTTTATATTCCATCAAAGATTCTGTCCAGCCCATTACTATTTAAGTGATGAATCTCTAAGCTTCCAATCCTAAAGTTTATTGTGGGTTTTATATATAATATATATAAAATGTCTTTTATTCCTACAAAATTTCATAGAGAAGAATTTTTTATTCCGATGCTGCAATAAAGCACTTTATATATGTCTGTGTTGCTGATGTCGTTCAGTTGGGACTGAAGCGTATGTCGCTGTTTGTTTTGTTGAGAGGGATGACACTGCATTGAATGCTGCAGGTCTTGAGTCCTCAGCCCTTGCTTCCTTCCCTTAGCATTTGCATTTGATGGTGTCTGGCTGCAAGAACCACAGCTAAGAGACCCTACCTGAAGCCCACCACCACAGCCATTGGGATATATGAAGTTCAGCTCACAGGGAAGGAAACCTACGAGAAGGCCATCAGGGCTGATGCTGAGAAGCAAATGCATTGCCCATGCCTCAGCCCTGACCCCAGGTTTTAGTCCATGCTCAGCTTGGCTCAAGCTGCGTGACCTTATACTAGCACACTGCTTTAAGCAAGTGTTGAGCTTGGGAGTGAGTGAAAAAACAACCCAGCATCATCCCAGCTGGAAAGCTGGTTTGGCAAATCACCTCCAGAGCCAACAGCAAACGATAATAGGGAGATTTGCAAAGCTTTCCAGGAATCACAACTTTTTGTTGCCATTAAATCGCTGCGTAAATTGTGACCGCTTCCAAGTTCTTGCTATTTCCAGCTGTTTTCCCTCCTTCTCTCCTCCTTTTGCTTTGTGCTGGCTGCACATCTGTCAAGGGTTATCTGCTACTCCGGCACAGGGCTCTGCTCTGCAGCTGCCTGGCGCCATTGCTGGCTTCTGCCCATGGGGAGCGGACTGCTCCTCTCCATGAAGGATGCTCTCAGCGTTGCTTTTCTGCAACATCAAAAACGTTGTTGCTTGGAGACCAAGCCAAGGGAAGCAAGCTGAGCTCCACTCTGCAGGAAAAGCAGCACAGAGAAAATCACTCTTTTCCCTGGAGGGGCAGTCAGCAGTTACATACACACTGTGTACGTAACATGCCTAACATGCCTTTGGTCTCTGCAACAGGGTCCTTGCTGAGCTGGATGCTGAGCCCTGTTCTGAAACTCCTGGGCTATAGAAATCCCACAGCCAGAGGTTGGAAGCAGGAAGAATCACTGCCCTAATTCTACAGGTGCTCTGGACCTGGTGACGTCACCTGAAATCGTGGAGTGAGTCTGTGGCAGTCTCATGCTGCACCTTGCCCACTGCTTTGAACACAAGAGTTCTTGACCAGATGAGTTTTCTTAGTTTGCCAGCCTGGGCTGGAGCTTTGCATGGCTCAGCTGTACCAGTTCCCCAGCATCCAACGTGGAGCTGAGTTAGCTAAACTGTCCGAGCTGAGTGTGCTCGTGGCACAGCATGGCATGCAGCCACCAACTTCTCTGTAGAAGAGTTAAAAAATTAAAAAAAAAAACAACACACTACTTGCAGCTTTTCAGCAGTAGCCCTGCTGGGCATAGCATGGACACTGGGCAAGCAGGAGCTTGTAACAAGACCTGATTTCTTGGGCTCTGCCTTCACCCCAAGTGTGGAGAATCAGTCCTGGCAGGTCCCCAGCACTCGTCAGAGCACATCCTCTGCTCTGATGCCGAAATCACACAGGGTAGTCCTGCTCAACATGTCCACAAAATGGGATTTACTTCCTCCATCTCCACAGAGGATGGACCCACATGTTTGCAGTTGGGAAAGGAATGTGTCACCCTCCTTCCGTGCCACACAGTGGCCAGCTGCCCCTCAGAAATGCATGAGAGGAGTCCAGCTGGTGGGCCCCAGCCCTTGCTTTGTCCTAGGTCCTTGCAAGCATGTCAGCTATTCTCCTCTCACTGCATGAGAGCCCAGCAGTAGTGATCACAACCCTGCACAGCTTGACCATCATGAAGGGGCCAGGGGCTGCAGCGGAGCCCATCCACTAGCCAGCATCGCTGGCCATGCCAGCCCCTGCCAGCCCTGACCCCAGCTGGGCCAGTGCTGGTGGAGCTCAGCAGTAGCTGGCAGGGTGGCCATGAGGTTTTGTGAAGAGCCAGGAGAAAGTCCCCTTCCCACCAGGCATCACAGCCTGGGTTACACGGAGATGTATCACAGAAAATTGATTTAGTTGAGATCTCGAGAATCTACATAGCCCCACCATGGGGACACGGGTAAATCATTTCTCACAATGGGTCCTGCTCTGTCCTGGGCTTCAAGGTCTCCAGTGATGGAGA